AGAGAGGGTATAAGTTGTCGATGAAGCGGCGCTGATCTGTTGATGAGGATCAATAGTGTCAGGCTTTGTCGGTTTCTTTTTCTTCTTCTTCTTAGCCTTCTTGCTACTCGGGGCTGTTTGATGCTTATCATTCAGTTGTGGATGTAATATGCTCTCGACTGCCTCATTTGTGTGTTTTTGTGCCGTTTTGTTCAGCGTCTCGGTAACTTTGTTCAGTAAAGCAGTAGCCCGGGGATTGTTCGCTAGTTTGCCCTGCAACACAAGGAAAAGGAAAAAGAAAAAAGATGAGGATTTACGACAGAAACAGTATTGCAATATTCACCGTATCTGTCGATACACTACTAGAAAACCAGGCGTGATTGCAAGCCGAAGGAAACCGTGCACACTTCAGCTGCAACATTTGAATCAATCAACGTTAGGGTTTCTGTGTGGTTTCTCCATGCGACTACTGCTGGAACTGCATATCAAGAGGCGTATTGAATGAGATACATATTGAATAGCGCTTATCGTCCAGACCCATCACTCCATATCCAGTTCCTATCAACCTGAACAGATGTGTGATCCGAGTACGTAACAGTCTGAATTCGTGAGATGGGCACCGCTGATGAACTCCAACAAAGAGGAAACAAATGTGGCTTGTTTGTTGGCTCTTAAGTACAAACTGGCTCCACTTACAGGACAAAATCTCCACTGAGAATTCCTAGGTCGACGGATTTTCAGCAACCTTATGAGTAGTAAACTACAAAAATTCCTAGGTCTCCTTACACTACCAACAAACAATAGGTAACTCAGAAGGAAGGATAAACTTTCCATCTGAGAAGTCGTCACTTGAAAGAGCTGGTCAACATGTGATTGCAGGATGACGACGCTAAGGTGCGAGCCAACCGAAATACTGATCAGCCGCTCGTAGCCGAACGGTTAAGCAATAAAACTACTACTTGGAAGATTGCGGTTTCGAAACACCAGAGAGCTTCGTAAGATGCGCACTGCTGATGCTTCATGTGAACAGAAATGGATGTGCAATGCTTCTCACCATAGACTGACTTTGTTACGGGATGAATTCTCAACGGCAAATCTGAATTCTGTTTGAGCTAGACCTCCTAAGGTGTGCAGATGCGCATTCTCATAAAAGCGACTGTCTCTGCTAAAGTTCAGTCGGGCTGTCGAATATTTCGGTAAGCAAACTTGTCGCATTGACATCGTAATGTTTACACAGCATCGCTATGCAAAAGTGCCGCTGTCGACCGAGAACCATTATCTTCATGGGCAAATCAGTGTTGATATCTCGCTTCCTTTAGCAAACAGCGGTCTTGTGATTTCGGATATTAACTGTTCTGGATTAACGAAGGCCGGGGACGTTTGACTGTAATACTTTGCTGCGGTAACATTGGCGAAAAGCTACCACGACTGGCCATGAATAGTAACCACTGATGCAGTCACAAGTTGACAGAAAATAATGACATTACGTCCATTTATTGGTCGCAACTACAGCCGAATTTCTGTTTGTCAGTGTGTGATTTTACTTGTTTTGGTCCGAATCTCTGACTAAGCAGTTCGAGTTTCTCATAAAGGAGTAGCGCTTTATTACAAGAAAATCACATATCCTTCTACAGACGTAAGAATTGAGTTTGATAATACACAGTCTTCTGGTGGCACCTTACACCACATACGGCAAACTATAGAGCAAGATGGCGTTAATCAATATGGCTAACTATGAAGCAACATAAAAAAAAGCATCGAAACCATTTTCACTCCGGATTTGTGTGAGACTTCGGGACACGAGCAACCTTAGCTTACGACAGATGCAAGGAGACCGCCCTTTCACCTTTCATTGCTGGGTTTGAAATCAGAATAAGGATAAGCAACCGCCTACATTCATTCTTATCCTTACACACACGCGACGACACTAGTGAACACGTCCAGACCTCCGACACATAGAAATCCAACGTAAGCATCTAAGTCATCGTCATCTTCACCACGTAGCCACAGCATACCCAACACCGAAGCACCACTAATTTACAAGATCGTGAGTGCGAATTAGTCTCATATACATCGTGATTAGCTTTCCATGGTGGTTAGTTACGGTCGAAAGGCATCCATTAGACGAGAAAAACAGAACCACAAACTACCTGCTTTTGCATTTTCTGTAAGCCATAAAATTCCCGAGCCGTGAGCATCTTCAGATGGGTAGGTCAATGTCAGCGTCTGGAGTGAACGAGCAGTTCTCGAGAGCTAAACTGAGGAGCCACACAAGCGTCTGAAAGCAAAGAAGTTTTGTTTGCGATGAGTTTAGTGAATGTAAGGACAAAGTGATAGGCCAAGAGCGTTCAGCTGTAGCACGCTCCCGGTGCCTAGCTGCCATGCCACCCGAGGGAAGCACGAGGGCTGGGATACTGCCAGGTTGCCCAAGCCTAGACAAGAGAAGTCGAGTGGCGGAGGTCGGATTCGAACCACGGACCTTCCGGGCCAAGAAGAGTATCATTCACTTCTAGTCTCATAAGGCCTATAGAAGTGATAACGGATCAGTTTTCAGAGCACAAACGTATTAAGCGACACCAGAGAGTTGTTTTGGGTCAGTGGGTATCCCAGCAATTTTTGACAAGCAACAAAAGGGTCAGTAGTAAACGGATGTGGCAGAACACTTTATGGTGCACGGCGGTATGCCAAAAAAGTGGCTTCCACATAAGAGAGACAAAGGTTGACGCTGTCGGTCAGCAAGTCCTCTGTCATAGAAAAGCCTTTAAAGACTTGTTTAGTTACTTCATTTTATTATGTCGGATGTCGGATGTCAGTTTAAATGATACGACAGGTCGCAGAGGGCCAAGAATGGTGCTCCGAAGCGAGGTCTGGACACATGGAGGTCCAGTTCCAATTCCAACATCAACCCACCACAGGCCCAACTATTCCGCATCCGTATTCACAGTACTTAACCAAAGCAGCTACTGTAACTGAGCCGGGAAACTAAGTCCATCCACCTATGGACAAGCTTTTTTAGTCTAATCCTCGTTCAATTGTGATTGACCTGGGCGACTTTTCTAGGAATTTATATGGGTATGCGAAACAGAGCAGGTAGTCCGTTGGGGCCACATTCTGAGGTATGGTAGAGCCAAGAGGACCAAATCACTACAGTTCCAAGTCCCTGCTATCATGTAGGACGCGATTGTTCCGCAAAGCTTATGCGTTGCTGTTTCCAAATACAGGAAGCTATTCGTGAACAGCGACGGGTAAGGGTTGAATCAAAGTCCTTGTTATATATTATGGTGCTTATATCTACATCCTTTACGACAGCGTACGCCCAAAACCTACCGAGTGTTCGTCTGGTTCTTTTTAGTATCTATCTGGGATTTCCACAGGAATAAACTATAACCCGAAGATCTTCAGTCTTCTGTTAATTTGTTAACTGACTCGATTTATAACAGTTTACTGATCTACACACGAATAAGTATTTCGATCACAGCTTTTCGTTAGGGATGTAGAGTCTCCAGAGGATGCGAAGGTCTATAGTCATTGGCGTTTTCAAGAACCACCTCGGGGTGGGGAGGTCGATGAATTCTGATACACTGAAGACATTATACAACTCTGTTTCCGCAAATAATCAAATTTGTTTCCTCATATTCTGGTTGTGATACTGCCATAGCTACCCTTCAGGCCGCTTACATTGAGGCAAAAAACGAAATTTGGTGCCTGTAAGTTTACGCTAAACAGGAGATTGGAAGTTAGTTTCTTCAAAAAATCCGCAGCTGTCCTAGACTATGAGTAACTTCAGAGTAGTCACTACTGAATGGAACTATGATGACGCCATTCGTGATCCGCTTATAGGTGAAATGCTCTCCATCTCCATCCGCCCAAAAGAATCTGGAACATGAATCACTGAGCCTGATACAGCTAGGATCAAGCAAAACGTTTGCAGTTAGCAAGGAAACAATATGAATCACCCAATATACAAAACTCCGAAACTGGAGAATTCATATTCCAGACTAATATGCCTCCCGTAGAACCAACTACCTGTACCCATCCACTGAAATTTATACATTTATTTGTGGCAATCCACCAGTTCTTCCGTGGTAATGCACGTTACCTACACAACAAACGTCCCGCCAAGGACACTATCTGCAAGACTCGTGCTTCTTTTGGGTGGCATGGTTGCTAGGCACCGAAAGGGTGTTACAGCTGAATGATTTTCCGCAGGAAAAAGGGTCACCGCAGAAGATCAATTCTGAAGGCTCCTATTCTAAACAGTGGACTTTTGTTCCCAAACAATTTTTGACAACAGCCACCACTGTCTCTATTAGTTTGTCAGTCAGGTGCTTTTAATGAAGTCCGACTCTAGATTTTGGTGCATAACGGACGTTTAAAGTTTCATTTTAGAGGCACAAATTAACCACAGCCACAGACCAACAGACCAGTCAAAGGGCCAAAGTGTCCCGAAAACAAAGACTTCGTTTGCCTCGAACTTCATCGGTCGCTCAAGGACGGCATCGCATCATCGTCAACTTCCACCGTAAACCACGTATTTGTTGCACAGCGGTCACAACTGTTACAGTGCCGTTCAGCAATTGTACGCGAAGCAAGGAGTTTGCAGTGACGCACCAGAGGCAGTGGGTGGATAAGGTGACGCAGGAGTCAGAACTTACAGTGTAGATCATGAGGCAAAACTGTTCATTGAAGGTAACGGCTTAGATACACGCGCGACACTGAACACGTTAATGGCTTTTATACTTCGCTGCCAGGTCACTGCACAACCTAGTCTGGCTTGTTACCACTCTTCGCATAGTTGTACGAAAAAAAACAGTTCGAGTAAGTCATCAACCGGTAAACGGCGCCCATGCTACCTATGGAGTGTGATCAACTCATCTATCGGTGGCGATTCATTTATTCCGAAAGCCATTCGGCATACTTCACCATTAGTGACCCGGTGTTCCCACCAGACTATCAATATTCCAAAGACATTGATGGTCAACCTCTGGAGGATTCCGAGGTCCTCAGTGCGAAACGGTCAAGCTTCTGACCCACATAACACTATGGAACACATCACACCATTGTTAAGTCTATTTTCGAAAAATAAGCTGATATCAAGCCTGCAACACAGATGGTGCAGGAAGAAAAAAGATGTTCCGGCCCTCCTGATTCGTGAGACAGGATTATCTAGATAATTTGTCTGTATTACGATGGCATCAGACGCAAGAAGTGCTACGTCATCTGCATATTGGATATTTGTAAGCTAGCGCTTTGAGAAGAATTTCACACCACAGGCATTAGAGGCTGGTGGTGACTCCCATGATCACAACAATGATGAAGTTGAAGAGGAAAAGTGGAAGGGGAGACACTCGGCTGACACCACTGAATGTAGTGAACACAGGTGAGAGCTTACCGCAGACCTCCCTGTATCCACGTAAAGCCAAGAGTGTATGGGGAAAACCTTGATCCAGAAACAACCCCAAAGTATCTGACGATCAGTAGTTAAGGTCGGCTTTCAATTAAAGAAAGACACCCAACGATGATGGCTGGAAGCGCTGACACTGTTTCAGAATTTGACGAAGGAAGAATATGTGACTGATGCATCCTCTTGGAGGGCGTAGCTCAGCTTGGTTTTCACGGAGCCGCCTATTCCCGTGTTGTCAACCTTGGTAGAATGAAATCAGAGAAATTCAATGCCACTGCTACCAGGCTAGTACCCCGGTGGTTTTCACATAGTGCTCGCGTACCCACTTCGAAGAGGGGGATGGTCCGTGACCCGCCCTATGCAGTGGGCACCTTTTCACTCAAAACCACATAGCACGCGAGTGACCAGAGTTTATCAGCCCCCCCCCCACTCATAGGAGCGTTGGGTACAAACAGCTGCCTCATGTTTCGGGAGGAATACATGGTAATTCATTTCTTCTGGCGAGCAATTAAGTTTCACGTTCCATTCTCCCACACAGATTTTCTCCAGCGGACGTGTCGTGTAGGCAGTGGCTCAATTAACGCCCTCGCGAATGAATCACTCGGAGGTATTTTTTGATAGTCGTTTCACTGAGTGGCTTTCCTTTGATG